TTTTTTTTTTTTTTTTTTTTGAGACAGAGGTTCGCTCTTGTTACCCAGGCTGGAGTGCAATGGCACAATCTCGGCTCACCGCAACCTCCGCCTCCCGGGTTCAGGCAATTCTCCTGCCTCAGCCTCCTGAGTAGCTGGGATTACAGGCACGCGCCACCATGCCCAGCTAGTTTTTTGTAGTTTTAGTAGAGACGGGGTTTCACCATGTTGACCAGGATGGTCTCGATCTCTTGACCTCGTGATCCACCCGCCTCGGCCTCCCACAGTGCTGGGATTACAGGCTTGAGCCACCGCGCCCGGCCTAAGGTCAGGGTGGTCTTAAACTCCTGACCTCAAGTGGTCCACCTACCTCGGCCTCCCAAAGTGCAGGGATTACAGGCGTGAGCCACCACACCCGTCCCTGTAGCAGGCTTTAAAGCCCCCAGATATTCTAGCCTCCAGTGACAAGGTTTTGGTGATCTTTCTAGAAAACATCCACTGTAGCAGACTTCTGTCTCTATCTTGACTGCCCTACGTCAGAACACCTTTACTCATATTCATATTAGAAACATTATCTAAAACTGGGAAATAAGGCAAAAAGATGGCCATATGTCCTTTCAAAGAATAAATATCTACAAGTTCATTGTGATGTAAACAGATAGTTGGGCCAGGCATGGTAGCTCATACCTGTAATCCCAGTACTTGGGAGACCAAGGTAGGAGCATCACTTGAGGTCAGGAGTTCGTGACCAGCCTGGGCAACATGGTGAAACCCCATCTCCACAAAAATACAAAAATTAGCTGAGTGTAGTAGTTCATGCCTGTAATTTCAGTTATTCGGGAGGCTGAGGCACCACTTGCTTGAACCTGAGAGGCGGAGGTTACAGTGAGCTGAGATGGTGCCACTGTACTCCAGCCTGGGCGACAGAGTGAGACCCTGCCTCAAAAACAAAAACAAAACAAAACAAAACACACAAAAAATAAATGGTTGACAAGATGAATAAATGGGGAAAATGATACAAATGTTCCTTACAGCATTCTAACTAATAAATCATAAAAACAGAAGGAATGAGGGAATAGAAAATCGTCATTAGAGCACCACAGTAATAACTGCCTCAGGCAGAATCCACAGAAGAATGCTAAAGTTAGCAGGTGGAACTTTAAGGAGAAACAGGAAATTTGCACAGCCTCAAAGAATCTGCCTTCAAACCTTGGTGGTGGCTTTAACATATGTCTGCAAATATTCCCCCCTCCAGGAGGTGGGACTTAACTCCCCTGCCCTTGAAGGTGGGTAGGACTTAGTGACTCTCTTCTAAAGAACAGAGCGCAGGTTGAACGCAGTGTCTCACGCCTATAATCCCAGAACTTTGGGAGGCCAAGGTGGGAGGATCATGAGGTCAAGAGATGGAGACCATCCTGGCCAACATGGTGAAATTCCGTCTCTACTAAAAATACAAAAATTAGCTGGGTGTGGTGGCACACGCCTGTAGTCCCAGCTACTCGGGAGGCTGAGGCAGGAGAATCACTTGAACCCAGGAAGTCAGAGGTTGTGGTGAGCCAAGATTGCACCATCGCACTCCAGCCTGGAGACAGAGCGAGACTCCGTCTAAAAAAAAAAGAACAGAGCACAAGAGGGAATACTGCAAAGAGACGGGGGAGATGCGTGGCAGACACCACCTCCAGCCGGCGATCCAGGCGAATGTTGCCCAGCACTTGGGTATCACACACCCCTCAGGTGACACGATGAGAAGGTACCTCCCTCACCTCTCTGTGATCTTCCAAACCCACCATCACAGTCCCATAAGGAGAAAACACCTGCCAAGCCCAACCAAGCATCATTTCACAAAACCCCTGACCGGCACTCTTCCAAAATGTCAGGGTCATGAAAAACAAGGAGAGGCTAAGAAAGGGTCACAGATTGAAGACTAACAAGATGCGAGGACTAAGCAGAATGTGGGAACCTGGACTGACTCTTGGACCAGAAAACAGACATTACAGTAGTGAAAAAATGGGAGAAAACTCAAAGCCAGCTGCTAGTTATTAATATCGTACGAGTGTTAATCGCTTAGTTTTGATAAATGTGCACAGTTACGTAAAAGGAAGCTGGGTGAAGAGTATAGGGGAACTCTGTACTGTCTATAACTTTTCTATAAATCAAAATTACTTAAAATAGGCCAGGTGCTGTGGCTCACTCCTGTAATCCCAGTGCTTTAGGAGGCTGAGGCGGGTGGATCACTTGAGCCCAGGAGTTTGAGAGCAGCCTGGGCAACATGGCGAGATCCTACCTCTATTTTCCTTCTTTTTTTTTTTTTTTTTTTTTTTTTGAAATTGAGTTTTGCCTTTCTTGCCAGGCTGGAGTGCAATGGCGCGATCTCAGCTCACCACAACCTCTGCCTCCTGGGTTCAGGCAATTCTCCTGCCTCAGCCTCCTGAGTAGCTGGGATTACAGGCTCGCACCACCATGCCCAGCTAATTTTTTGTATTTTTAGTAGAGACGGGGTTTCACCATGTTGACCAGGATGGTCTCGATCTCTTGACCTCGCGATCCACCCGCCTCGGCCTCCCAAAGTGCTGGGATTACAGGCGTGAGCCACCGCGCCCGGCCTAATTTTGTATTTTTAGTAGAGACAGGGTTTTACCATGTTGGCCA